TGACAGTTTGTTGTGAAGTGTAATGGTCCAGGTGAGTGTAGTCTAGAGAAAGACTGTTGTTGGTGGTGACTGACAGTTTGTTGTGAAATGTGATCGCCCAGGTGAGTGTAGTCTTGAGAAAGACTGTTGTTGGTGGCTGACGTTTCAATAACCGGAAGTCGTCTTCAGAGTCCAGTAAGAAAATGAGAGACAGTCGATGGTATATGCTACAGTATATAGAGTCCAGTGAGAAAACAAGRCACAGTCGATGGTATGTGGTATATAGAGACCAGTGAGAAAACGAGAGACAGTTAATGGTATATACCAAGTAATTGTGAAAAAGGTTACCAATGATGAAATGAGATATACACGAGCATGAAAAAGAGAAGAAAAGCGCAGAAAAGAAAATGGAAATTAACTGGAAAACATGATGAATAAACATTAAATAAGAATAAAAAAGGGTGCAAAAATGAAGGGGAATGTCTTTGAATGAAAAGGGGTGGACAAGTTAGAAAAGCACTATAATAGAAAAATAGAAAAATTCAATGCATGATGGCAAAAATTGGAAAAGAAATGTCAGAATTTAAAAGGGAAATAAGATAAAAAGGAAATGAGAGAACGAATGAAGGGGGAAATCAGTGAAAGGGAAAAAAATGAAATGTGGAAAAAAGTGTTTAAATGAAATAATACAAAAAAATATTTAGAATGACTGAAAGAGGATTAGAAATAAGAGGAAAAAAGAAAAGAAATTATGAAATTAAAATAAGAAAAAAATGCAAAGTTAGGATGACTTACCTGTAGCAATTTGTTTTTTGACAAGTGATAATTTGTAAGCATCACTTTTTAATTCAAAGTTTAAGTTTGATATGGTAGCTCCTGTGGATGAAAACTGGACGGCAATTCTGGACGGCGTACTTGGCCCCTCTGTTAAGTCAAGCTTTGCTCTTAATGTCCCTATAATAGGTGCAATTATGAGAATATGTGATTACTTGAATGTGGGAATTACTTGAATGTGACTTGCATGCAATGTTAAATGTTTAATAGATAGCTTGTTACATATTTTTTAGACAAACTTCCTAAACAAAACCAAGCTGCACTTCACAGAGAGAAGAATGAGAAAAACTACTGGATACAATAGGGAAAATTGAAGGTCCTAAAACCCAACCATGAGGAACTCCAAAAGGTAACCAATTTGAATACCGGTGCAAATACCAAATCAATATAAGCATTGTTGATCAGTCAAATGCCTTAAACAAAACCAAAACAAAACTATATGCCGATCTGCATAAAGAAAATAATAAGTTAAAAAATATAATAATTATAGAAAAAAATGAAGGTCCCAAAAATCTGAATGGTGACCACTTACCATCTTGATCCTTGGAACTTGAAATTTCAGATAAAATCCAAACAGCACGCTGGTTCTCTGCTGACCTGATACAAAACATTGGCAAATGAACCATTACTAGACTTAAAAAAGTTATTGATTATTATTGATATTATTCCTGCAACATGCTAAGGAATATTAATGGGCCCAAAACCAATTCTTGAGGTAATCCAAGATTGAAAAAAATATTGATTATTGATATTATTCCTACCCTGCTAGCAGAGTCACCAACGAGGGAGACTCTGCTAGAAGGGAGTGATATTATCAACATGCTGAGGAATATTAAAGGGCCCAAAACCAATCCTTAAGGTACTCCAAGAGTTAAGATAGTCATTGAAAAAGAATGTTCAAGGGCCAATAACCAACCCTTGAGGCACTCCACAGGATTAGAAGAAGATGATTAGATGTTCAAAGATAGCACTAAGGGAATTACATTAGAAATACAAAAAATAACCACCTCCAATGCCCAGGTAGAACAAGCTGCAACAATATTTTTGTTATTGCAAAATACTATTACTGCTACTTACCAATTTGCCGATGGCTTAGACTGCATGATTGTAACACCACCATTTACTGGTGCTATAATGTTAACGTTGGTTAATGCACAGGGTGTCGACATACATTTGGGATTATATCTGTAATCTACTCTAATATTAGTTGCCATCGGCTCACATTTCCAGTAACTACAAAGCTGTAATGGTGTGGACTGAATACCAGTTGTGCGAACCTGCAATCACACAAAAATCATAGTTAGCTTGGACCTTTGCAAATAACCATCCATAAATCATTTACCTGAAAAAATGGTGGTGGTGATGATGATGATGATGATGATGGTGATGATGATGGTGATGATGATGGTAATGATGATGTGATGGCGATGATGTGATTATGATATTAGTAATGTTTGTTATAATAATGATGTTGATGATGTGATGGTCATAGTGGTGGTAATGTTTATGATAATCATGATGATGATAATCATGATGATGATGTGATGGTGAGGATGAAGATGATGATGATGATGATGTGATGGTGGTGATGATGATGTTGGTGATGATAATCATGATGATGATGTGATGGTGAAGATGGTGATGATGATGATGGTGAATGCAATGATGATGATGTTGATGATGATGTTAGCATCATTGTTTCATAGTAAGGAAACCTTTTTCTGGCCCTTCTATCCCTGTATTTTAGAGGTCCCACTGTACTTGATGACCTACCTCATACTTGAGAATATCTATATTGTAATATGAAGATGTGGCCGTCTCTGTTTGTTTTTTCAAGTGGCTGGCTAATGCATTCATGTTGAATTTATAAACAACAGCATCTCCTCCACTTTGCTGCCCTTCACTGTAACACAAAGAAATTAATGAATAAATGAGCAAATAAACAAACGAAAGAACAAACGAAAAAACAAAGGAACAACCAAACAAACAAAGGTAGAACGAAAGAACAAACAAAAAAAACATCAAAAACAAATGAACAAACGAACGAACGAACGAACGAACGAACAAA